AATGGTAGAAGGTATCACTTCACCTCAGTTAAGATGGCTCTTATTAAAAAAGAAAAAAGAAAAAAAGCAAGGTGTGGTGGCTCATCCCTGAATCCCAGCACTTTGGGAGGCCGAGGCAGGTGGAAACTTCCTTCCTCAAAAATGAAGGAAGGGAGGGAGGGACGGAGGGAGGGAGAGAGAGAGAGAGAGGAAGAGGGGGAGAGAGAGAGAGAGAGAGAGAGAAAGAAAGAAAGAAAGAAAGAAAGAAAGAAAGAAAGAAAGAAAGAAAGAAAGAGAAAGAAATAAAAGAAAGAAAGAAAGGGAAAAAGAAAGAAAGAAAACTAACAAATGCTGGTAAGGTTGGGGAGAAGGTGAACTAGTACAGTCAGTCACTATGGAAAGCAGTGTGGACATACCTCAAAAAACTACAAATAAAACTACCAAATGACCCAGAAATTTCACTACTGCAAGTTTATCCAAAAGCATGAAAATAATTATATCAGAGATTTCTTACTCCCAGTGTATATGGCAGGACCTTTCGCAATAGCCAAGATATGGAATCAAACCAGGTGTCGGACAGCAGATGAATGGTTAAAGAAGATGTGGTGCAGATACATGATGAGATACTAGTCATCCATAAGAAAGGAAATCCTGTTATTTTTGGCAATGAGGATGGAACTGGAAGACATTATGTGAAATGAAATAAGCCAGGAACAGCAAGTAATACACCTTGTTTTCTCACTCATACATGGAAAAGAAAATCTGTCTCATAGAAATAAAGAGTAGAACAGAGGATACTAGGGTCTGGGAAGGGTAGGGGAAGAGATAGGCAGAGATTTGTGAAAGAATACATTAGAATTAGATAGGAGGAATAGATTATAATGTTCTTTACCACTGTGGGATAAATGTATTTAACAATTATATGCAGTTTCAAATAGTAAGAAGAAGGATATTGAGTGTTCCCAACAAAAAGAAAACGTTTCAGATGATGGATATATTAATTATCCTTACCTGACCCCTACACACTGTTTGAAAACATTGCTATGTACCTCATGAATATTTACAATCATTATTTGTCTATTAAAATTATATTAGAAAACACAAACTTCATTGGAAGTAACGTAAATGGAGGCTTTGGAATACACCTGGAGATAACGGGAGGGAATGGAATACATTACAGGCCTAGCATTCAATGGCAAGAGGAGCTCCCATTGACTTTTTGTATTTGCAGCACTGAGTAAATCTAACATTTATCAAAGCTTCCCTCTACAATAGAGACCTGAGTCTAGGGAAATCTTGCAGATAGTCAGATATGCAGAGGGAAGAAGCAGGAGTAGACGGCTGCTGGCCCATTTAACAATAGCTGGAATGATAATTATGCATGTAGAGAAGCCAACATTGATTTAAATAAGTTACATCACTGAATGACATAAAAAAAAAATCCAAGGGAAATCTTTAAAATGGATAGTGAAACTATTTTGGGTGAAGAAATGTTCACTGAAGTAAAGTGAGCCATTAAAGCTGTTAAGAACTACAGTAACCACTGGATTGGATTCAGCTTTGTCTGAATTCAGGGTGATTATTACTGGCTCAGGCAGGGGTCAAAAATCAAGATGTATAGGTGGTACCAACCCAGAAAAGTCAGGGACCAGAAAGATTCACAGCTGAATTTTTTCAGATGTACAAAGAAGTGTTGCTACCAATCCTAGTGTAACTATTTCCCAAAAATGAGGATAAAGGACTCCTCCCTAAGTTATTCTGTGAGATCAACATTATTCTGATAACAAAACCTAGCAGAGACTTAATTTAAAAAGAAAACTTTAGGCCAATACATCTGATGCAAAAATGCTCAATGAAATACAAACTGAACACAGCAGCACATCAAAAAGCCTAATCTACCAACACTTTGTTCCTGGGACGCAAGGTTGGTTCAATATATGCAAATCAGTAAATGTGATTCATCACATAAACAGAATGAAAAACAAAAACCATGTTAACCATAGATACAGAAAATGTTTTGAATAAACTTTAGCATTCTTTCATATTAAAAACCATCAACTAGGCATGAAGGAACACACCTCAAAATAATAAGGGCCATCTTCGACAAACTCACAGCAAACATTATACTGACTGGGCAAAAGCTGGAAGCATTTTCCCCTGAAAACTGGAACAAGAAAAGGACACCCACTCTAACCACTCCTGTTCATCATTGTCATGGAAGTCCTAGCCAGAGCATGCAGACAAGAGAAAGAAATAAAAAGCATCAAATCAGGAAGAGAGAGTGTCAAACTATCCCTGTAGATGAAATGATCATATTCCTGAGCCTGCAGTTTGGTGATTAACATTAATTTAGAAAAATTGTCAGTCATCATTGTTTAAATATTTCTTCTTAGCCTTTATTTTTTTCTATTTCCCATTATGTGCATGTTATACTTCTGCAACTGTCCCACAGTTCTTGGGTAAGCTGTTCTGGTTTTACATATAAGTGTGTGTGTGTGTGTGTGTGTGTCTCTGTGTATATTTGTATTTGTGTGTTTACTGTTCTAACAATATATTTTTTCTTTTTGCTTTTCAGTTTAAGAAATTTCTATTGAGATAGTTTTAAGTTCAGGTTTTTGTCCGCAGCTATGCCCTATCTACATGTAAGTCCACTGAAAGCATTACTTGATTCTGCTACAAAATTCTTGATATCTACTTTTATTTTCCTTTTTTAGAATTTGCATCATTCTACTTGCATGACACAGCTGTTCCTGCATGCTGTCTGCTTAATTCATTACAGCTCTTAACATATTAATCATAGTGGTTTTAAATTCTTTGTTTGGTAATTCCAACTTAAATGGCATAGCTGAGTCTCATTTTAATGCCTGTTCTGTCATATCACATGATGATACATTTCTTTTAGTATATATCATTATTTTCACAGGCAGAATTTATGTAACAGGTGAAAGAAACAGCTGTAAAGAGGCCTTTAGTGATAGCATTATAAGTTGTGGAAGAAACGTGTTTCATAATCCTCTGGTTATGGCTTAATGTAGCAAGCTTAGGCCTTTGAAAATAAATCCTTACATGAGCGTGAAAAGATAAGCCATAGATTTGGAGAATTTCCTCACAAATCAAATATTTGGAAATGGACTTTTATCACGAATAATAAAAATTATCTTACAATTGAACAATAATAAAACCACACAATTTAATTTTAAAATAGACAAAGACCTGAATAGAAAGAAGCCTCATCTAAAAATAAATATAAAAAGTGATACACATGATTTTAAGGTATTTGTATGTTTAATATTCAAAAAATACTACTATCCTGTTACAATGGGTAAAATACACAATATAGACAGTACCAAATGGTGATGAGGAAGTTGAAAAACAGAACGCTCACTCCATGCTGGAGGGAAGGGGATGCTGAAGTGGCACATACACAACTACAGTTAATAATTCATTGTATATTTCAGAATAACTAGAAAATAAGATTTAGAATGTTCTCAACACAAAGAAATAATCAGTGATTGAGGTGAAGGATATCTCAGGTATCTGGATTTGATCACTGCAAATAATATACTTTTATCAAAATATCATGCATATCCCTTAAAGGTTTTGAACCATTCTGTATCTATATAAATTAAACATTTTTTAAAAACAGTGCAGGGGAATCCAGCTAATTGCTGATTCCCATTAGATGTGATGTTCTGCATAATCTGTAAACTAATCAGAATCTGTGGGTTTGTAAAGGACTTTAGAAATCAACTAGACTAATTGTTTCTAAAGATAAGTCTCCCAAGGTTAATTATTCTCCTAGTAGGTGGTGATTTTGAATATAGAAGAAATGTTAATAGTTGTTGCTGGTAAGTTTTCTTCTAGTCTCAGGAGAAAAGGTTTGTAGGGAGGAATCTGGGACAATCTTTTAAGTCTCAACTTCAATGTGATTATCTCAGTAAATATTTTCTGATACCCCTGAGTAGGAGAAGTCTCATATATCTCCTATGAATTAAAAGTAGAATTCTAAGTACCCAGCTGACTGAATGGAACATTCCTCTTCAACAAGGAGTTCCATGGACACTAGAAAACCTAGTTGAGGCCGTGTTAGAAATAGAAGATCAGAAATGCCTAATTATACACTCCTCCCTTTGGAATTTAAGCAGAAGTAACCAGCATTTTCATTAAAACAGATTTACGGCTCAGAAAACAGATTCCGTGTAGCAGTAAAATACCAAATTCTAACCTGACTCAAGAATAGCATCACATCACAGAGAGCAGGCCTTGAAAGGAATCAGTCATTCACCCTAAAATATATTTCTTTGACATATTTTACAATCGCCCTGCACAGTTAGTTTTTTACAAGAGAAATTTAAATTCTGTAGATAATCTGCTTCCCTTTAAAGGTGTTTGTGTTATACTGAGGAGATTAGCTGAGAGTTTAGTATCTTTTAAATCTCTTAGTTGAAAATATTTGCTGTCTATTGACTTTAAGGGTGGTCACAGAAGAGACTTCATCTACATAATAAGAATCTTGTTCTCCAAAACCCATTATCTTAACCCAGACACTTTTTTTGTACTAGTTTGTCTTTTGATAAAAATTTAAGTCTTTCAATCAATTGCCAATCAGAAAATCATTTAATTCACTTTTAAGCTGTAATCTCCTCCTTACACTGCCTCACTTCTAGCGATTTTGTCTTTATGGAACAAGTTAACATGTATCTCACGTGTATCAACTGATGTTATTAAATTTAACCTGCAATCAAGTCATTCTGGGCACATGTTCTCAAGATCTTCTGGGGCTGTGTCACAGGGCGTGATCCTCACATTTGGCTCAGAATAAATCTCTCTAAATATTTTGCAAACTTGGCTTTTTATTAAGAGTTCTAACAGAACCTACTCTGTGGTCTTTGTTACATCCACAAGCATGATGTTAGTAAACATTAGTTACTAAAATAAGCACATGTTGGCAATTTCTTATGAAGTTACACAGAGACCTTCTATGGGATCAACTGTAAATGTTTCAAAGTATTTCTGCAGTTATTTCAAAATTTGTGTTCCACAGATACTTCTATCAGATTCCTTATGTCAGCTAATTATTTGCTTTATGATTTTTGCCTTTTTGTAGATGATCACAATTTGTTTTATGAGTTTTTTTGTAGATGATCATGCCCTATCTCTTCTGTGCCTTTACTGTAGAAAACTGTGAAACTACTCAGGACTACATCTGAAAGTCCTTACTGCAGTGGGTGCCAGAATTGCAGTGGGTTTCCTCTGCAGCCACCAGACACTCAGATTCATTCAGTGAAATCTTAATTTTGTTTCCTGCTTGGCTTTGGGCCTTAATCTTGTGCCATCCTGAAAGACTCTGTCTTTCAGGTCCCCCTGGTCATCCCAAAGCCACAAGGACCTGACAATTGTCAATGTAGTGGGAGGGGTTGCACTGAACGGACACTCTCTATCCTTCTGAGGGAGCCATACTCCAGGCAGACATCACAGTCCCGACTCGGTGTGTCCTTCCAAGTATCCCTGCCCATCCTGCGGGTGTGATGCTGATCCAGGCATCTTCCTCCCATTCCTGGGTAGAGGGTCTCCTTGTTTGTTCCAAGATCTTCTTCCAGCAGCCACTATGTCTTCCCACTGATGTCTTCAGCTTCCTTTTTTCTGCCCTTCCCAGCAGGATGAGGCTGTTTTTCCAGAGGGAAGAGAGAGGAGATGGGAGATGAGACTGTTATTCCTAAGAGAATGGACAGAGCTTCGGAGCTTTTCTTCCTTCCGTCCCAGTTTCTATGAGTTCCTCCAGTGCCTGTAACACAGAGGTGTTAGTGGCTTTGCCCCTGTATGTTAATTATTTGGTAAAGTCGTGGTGGCAGGGGAGGTGGGTCTGGATGCATTTCAGCCACAGCTGCTGTTCCACTTTCCCACACAGAAACATCTTGGGAGGGAGAAGCTGGAGATTTTTGTGATGTCTCCTCAGTCCTGGCAGAAAAGGTTTCAATAGCAGTAGGAATGCCTCAGTTGTATGTCCTCTGATAATTTAAACAATAACTTCTTTACTATACTCAACTCTAAACAATCTGAAGAATATGTCTAATTTAATCCTGCATTAGCTTAGATGACATTTGCTGACCTCTGCCCCAGATAAGTTCATATTCTCTTCCTGTTTGTTCCTGCAGGTCACTGAGTTTCACAAGATGTAAGGTCCCTTGTTTGTCCTATAACATCAATAATCTGATGTTTTAAAGAAAATGTGCTAATTTCCAGCTCAGTAAGGTTAGTTGTTGTAAAAATAATACAATGTTTTCTGGGATGCCTGCATCTCCAGGCTGAGTAGAAGCTTTATTTGTAACACTCAGAAACCGGAAGTAACAAAAATATTAAGGAGCTTTATAAATAGCAGGGATGCACTCATTAACTGGAATACTGTTCCTCATTACAATGAACACATTCTTCATACACAACCAAATTACTGACTCACAAGTAATTATACTGAACAAGAAGCCACACAAATGAAATAGAAACTGTAAGATTTCACTTTAACCAAATCTTGAAAAATAGATCTGAAGTAACAAACGTGAGGGACTGACTCAGTATGGTGAGAGAAAAATGACTGGGAGGCAGGAATTGGAGGAACCCAGGGAAACTTTTAAGTGTGATGCACTGTTATCTTGACTGTTACCTTGTTATTTGGGAAGCACAGGTGAGCACATTTGAAATTGCATTTTTTTCCTTTGGAGACATGATCTTGCTTTGTCATCCAGGCTGGAATTCAGTGGTGAGATCACAGCTCTCTGCAGCCTCAGACCCTGGGTCTCCAGCAATCCTCCTCCCGCTACCGTACGTAGCTGGGACTACTGGTATGTAAGACCATGCTCAGCTTCAGAGCTTATTAAAATGCACACATTAATTAAGCAATATTTATTACACAGCAATAATGCCTCAATAAGACTATTGCAAATAAGTGGATAATTTGTTCAATAAACATTGATGGAAAGATAGATGCTAACATGACAAAATGCGTGACACCCAAGAAAATGAAACTGTAGGAAATGTGCTTTTCTTTACAATTATTAGGGAATCACAACAGTGCATACATATCACACCGTGTTCTCATTACAGAGAAGAGGTTCTGCAAACCTCACTAGCTGCGACCCCTATGTGCCGGGCTTGGTTCAGGGAGCAGTCAGGTCCAGTGGTGAGAAGCACAGGTCCAGATACTCAGGCTCACTCTGACCAAATGTGAGGTCTGGGGACATTGTACAACCCATCTGTGCTTTTGCTGGTAATTTTTCATCTGTAACATGGAAATGGCATTGATACCACATACCATGTTTCCTCTACATATGTAAAAATAAAAGATGATTGGTGCTAACTTTAAATATACACAGTTTATGTAGATCGATTATACCTCAATACCACTGTTTTAAACTAGAAATTACAAAATTGTAAGTTTTATAGGTTTTAATATTTTATCACAGAACAAACTTTCAATAAGTAACCACAATTTCCAAAATGCTATCAATATCAAATATCTCCCCCAAGACACTCTCCCATGCTCTGAGCCCCACTCTCTCCTCAGGCCTCTCACCCCAGAGTTTGCTAAATAGTAGGAGACATGCAAATAGAGCCCTCCCTCTGCTGATGAAAACCAGCCCAGCCCTGACCCTGCAGCTCTGGGAGAGGAGGCCCAGACCTGGCATTTTCAGGTGTTTTCATTTGGTGATCAGGACGGACCACAGAGGACTCACCATGGAGTTTGGACCGAGCTGGGTTTTTCTTGTTGCTATTTTAAAAGGTAATTCATTGAGAACTACTGAAATTGAGTGTGAGTGGATAAGAGTGAGATAAACAGTGGATTCATGTAGAAGTTTCTGACCAGGGTTTCTTCTTGTTTGCAGGTGTCCAGTGTGAGGTGCAGCTGGTGGAGTCTGGGGGAGGCTTGGTACAGCCTGAGGGGTCCCTGAGACTCTCCTGTGTAGCCTCTGGATTCACCTTCAGTAACTACGACATGGCCTGGGTCCGCCAGGCTCCAGGGAAGGGGCTGGAGTGGGTCTCACGTATTAGTAGTCCTAGTGGTAGTAACACATGGTACCCAGACTCTGTCAAGGGCCGATTCACCATCTCCAGAGAGAACGCCAAGAACACGCTGTATCTTCAAATGAACAGCCTGAGAGCCGAGGACACGGCTGTGTATTACTGTGCGAGAGACACAGTGAGGGGAAGTCAGTGTGAGCCCAGACACAAACCTCCCTGCAGAAATGTTCAGGCGAAATCAGCTGCAGGGGGCGCTCAGGACCCACTGATCAGAGTCAACCCCAGAGGCAGGTGCTATAGAGGCTGATTTCCTGTCAGGATGTGGGACCTCGTCTTCTCCTCACGGTTTCTCCAGTGAACCTCTTTAAGTTTAGAATTCTGTGCTTCCTAATGTCATCTCTACATATTTTTTAAAATATCATTTTAATATGAGGACCTATTCTCACATGTACCAAATGCAGATTGATGTTTACAGAGATGAAAAGGCCTCAACTATGGCCACCAAGATCAGAGTCTTGAGGAAAGTGAGCGGTGCCTGGTGAGTCTTCTCCAATCAGACCCACGACAGAAACCTCAGGGAGATTCCAGGACTAGAACAATCTTTGGGATTCTGATCACAGCCAATAGAGAGGCTGGGCCAGGGTCAGTGTCATGTAGAAGCTCACAGGTTTCTCATCTGACCCTTCTCCTGACACTAAAGCCAATCAGTATCAGCACTGACCTGGTGCTCCTTTTGCTCCCAATCCATGTTCTTTTTTTGGAGTGTTTGTTCTCCCTTTTTATTTGCTTTTCCTGCTTCCTGAAAAAGAAACAGATGACCTCCGTAGTCTACCTTCCAGGGTTCAAGGCATTTTCTTGGAGCTCAGGTGGGGCTCAGCCTGTGGCTCCTGCAGCCACGTGGGAGAGGCTGATGGGACTTCCTTCCCTCCCCATTTTCTCAGGACCCTCCACTGTGTTGTGTATAGACTCATGTGGGAATGCAATTGGCCATTAATAGTGAAGGGGATAAACTTATTTTATCAAATGGGATGTGGATGTAGAATTAACCCTGTTCAAGCCGTCAGAGTCATCTGCTTCAGAAGTAGTGTTAGAAAGAGCTTGGGAAATTTATTAGAATCAAGATGGAGCCACTTGTGTTAAAACCCTAATGAATGAATCTGGGGAAGCCCACAAAGGAGGGTTCTAACACACATGTTCCTGATAACAAGAACTATCATAGACTCTGCACTGCCACAACCTTGCAAAAAAGCCATCACAACCTTAAAAGAATTATGTCTCCAAGTATATCTGCCCAGCAACTGCTTGTTCAACCTCACACCGATGTCACCTCTGTTACTGATCCTTCTAGTCCAGGATAATCTAGTCCTGCATATCCCATTTAGAGTTGATGTAACTCTCTTTATTTTTCCTTCATTCTTTATCTTCCTTTACCAACCTGAATGTACCCATACATATTTCAAATGCAATACCATACATATTTCAAATGCAATATACATCCTAGAATAAATATTATTACATTTTATAATCTCTTTGTTATTCAGGGTTGACAAATCACAGGTGGACATGCCACATTTCTGTGAGGCATAGAGGATGACAGATTTTGGAGATGTCTAGGAATATCCAATGTCCAGAAGATCATCTATCAAGAAGTGCAGGCTGAAAGTCCCAAAAAGAGGTGAAGCTGCCGAATTACCATGGCATTTAATTGTATCCAGTTCTGCTCTGATGGAATCTGGCCCACTCATTTTATCATTGACAATCTACCTAACCTAGAGTCAACTGATGACAGTTTTAATAACATATATTAAGTAAATTCAGACCCATATATATATACATGTTTATATTTGAGACGGAACTCACTCTGTCGCCCAGGTTAGAGTTCAATTGCACAATCTCAGCTCATTGCAACCTCCACCTCCGGTGTTCAAGCAATTCTCCTGTCTCAGCCTCCAGAGTTAGAACTATATATATATACACACACACACACACACGTGTGTAGAAATATATACGTGTGTGTGTGTGTGTATATATATATATATTTGAGACGGAGTTTCACTCTGTCACCCAGGCTGGAGTGCAATGGCATGATCTCAGCTTATTGCAACCTCCGCTTCCCGGGTTCAAGCAATTCTCCTGCCTCAGCCTCCCAAGTAGCAGGGACTACAGGCACAGACCACCACGTCTGGCTAATTTTTGTATTTTTAGTGGAGACGGAGTTTCACCATATTGGTCAGGCTGGTCTCAAACTCCTGACCTCAGGGGATCCACCCAACACAGCCTTTCAAAGTGCCGGGATTACAGATGTGAACCACCATGCCCTGCTAACCCTACATATATTAATTTTGGATTGAATAACTACAAAGTCTACCCTAACCAAGTGTACCATAAAACTTTCTATTACCCAGAGGGAAGAATCTTTAACACGAGATCTATGTTCTTAATTTTTTTAAGGTGTAAAACTGACCATTTTACAATCAGACGATTATGATTTTGATAATGAGGTGAGAAGTTGCATGTATATTGTGGATATTAACACTTTTTCAGATTCATGACTTGAAATTATATTCTCCCATTCTGTCTGTTGGAATTTTTTCCACGCTTTGCAGCATCTTTTTGTGATGTAGTTTCACTTGTTCAATTCTGCTTTTGTTGTCTGTGACTTTAATGTGAAATACAGGAAATCATTCTTAATATTATTTTCTGGGCAGGGAAATTTTACAATTGAAAGCCATACATTTAACTGCATATCCCATTTAGAGTTGATTTTTCGTGTTTATTGTAAACTAAAATTCTTAACTCTTTGCATGTGTAGATCCAGTTTTTCTAACCCTCTCTTAGAGAGAGACTATGATTTATCCATTGTATATTGTTGGTTGTTATGCTGAAAATCAGTTTGCCATCGATATATCAGTTTATTTCTGAGCTCTTTCTATATATTATTGCCAATACAGTCCTGTTTTTATTTATGTATCAAAATGTGCATATTTTGTGAATTTCAACGTGCTGTTCAGAACCTGTGCATGCCAACAACTGTGTTTCTCAGTGCCCTCTTGGGCTTGTGAAGCCCTCACAGACCCCCTCCCTCATCTGTGCCGTCTCTGCATTCTCCATCACAACCAGTGCTCCCTGCTGGATCTGGATCCATCAGCCCGCATGGAAGAAACCAGACTTGATCAGGTGCACAGCTCATGAGGGAGTGCACAACCTAACCCACTCCTCAAGAGGAGTCCAGGTACCATCTCCAAATCCACATGCAAAAAAACAGTTTTTCCTACAGCTGAGCTACCTGAACAACGAGTACACAGCCATTAATTTTTATAAAATAAAACACAGTGAGGAGAAATCATTGTGAGTTCAGACGCAAACCTCCCTGCAGGGGCGCTCAGGAGCAACAGGAGACGCTCCTGACACCAGGGGGCACTCAGGACACACATCAAGGCAGGTGCAATTGGGGGGAAAAGGTGCTGTAGATGGGATTTGGCATCACCATCATATTTCACCACTGGACACCCAGTTTATTCTCATGTACGTGATTCTTTATATTAGAAAGTGGCATTTATATAAATATATAACCATATGTAGGGGCATCAAGTCGTCTTCTCCATCTTACGTGGACCTTTTCCCTTAAGACTCTGAGTCCCTGTACTTATTTGAGCACCTCATAAATTATGGTCAGTTATGTACAATCTCTTTCTCTTCTTTCTCCCTTCTTCTCTCCTACTCTCTCAGTCACAATCTCACACACACACACAATTCTACAACTTCGATTGCCTGATGTGCTGAAAACCAGTGATTAAAGTGCAGTTTTTCCAGCTTACCTGCTGTTCTAAGAATAAGAACGTTGTGTTTCTCAGCTATGTGCTTTTCTAAGATAATAGCACTTTTTAAAAAAATAGCCAGATACTGAAAGCAATCCAAATATCAATCAGCAGCTTAATTAATAAACACATTGTGGTGGTAAATTCATTCACCGGAAAAAACACCTCTTGTTACAATAAGGTACTGCTGACTACACTCAAAAGTAAGGGTAAATTCACAAGTACGTATGATGAGTAAAATAAGACAAACACATACAAGTACATACATACTATTCATCTTTTATAAATTCTATGAAATGAAAGCTAATCTAATGTTACATTAAAAAAACCAGTAGTTGACTCTGGACATGGTGTGACAAGGGGAGGTTAGGAAGCAGGAATTATAGGAAAACCAAAGGAAATGTTGAGCATAGTCGGGTTTTTTCTATGTTGAGAAAGGTGATGGTTATGTCACTATTTTTCAAATTGTACACATTATGGGAGGGCCACTATTTGCTATTTTCACCTCATTAAACTATTACAAATTTAAACACATAATATGGTAGAAAATGAGTTAGAGATGAATGAAATATAGAAGAAATAGAAAAAGAAAATCACAGAACAATGGCATAAGAACTTCACTCATCAAACTGAATAAATTTTAAATTTCTCAACACAGAATTAAATATTTTATTTTATATATATGAGAAATCAAAGACTCCAGAATATGCACATGAATAAACCCTAAGTCTACCTATATTCCTAGGGAAACACTAGAATACAACAAAATAATGTCATGATTTCATTACATAACGGGGGTAAACAAACCATACCAGGCATGCCAGCTCTCTTCTGGAGTTGGGTCAGGGAACAGGTGTATCCTGTGGTGAGGAGCAGTGGCACCAAGCTCACAGCATCAGTTCTAGTTGACACCATAAATAGGCCAAGAGATCACAACTAAAATGTACTATGGATGTCATATCTGTGGGTGCCGCGCACTCCCCCATGTGAATATGGAAAGGTTAATTACCTCTGGAGGTGTCTGCCGAGAGTAGTGCTGGTCTCTCAGGAATGTCCAAAATGGCTTGGTTGAGCAAGAAAGGAGACTGGCCCAGGGTTCCTATAGTGGTTTGGTGGTGGCGGCAGAGTGAGGGGCCTCACTCACAGAAAGGAGTTTGTGGGGTTCGAACCTCCAAATGGCTTCAAATAGGGAATTCCTGTGATTCCTGACTAGATTTACCTCATTTGGGAAAGAAAAGAGATGAGGGAGGAATGAGCGTTATCAGCAGTCAGACATCAGAACAATAGTCTGATGACTTACTCTATGTAGAAACTATAAAAATCATGAATAAAAAAAGATCAGGCCGGGCGCGGTGGCTCACGCCTGTAATCCCAGCACTTTGGGAGGCCGAGACAGGCGGATCACGAGGTCAGGAGATCGAGACCATCCTGGCTAACACAGTGAAACCCCGTTTCTACTAAAAATACAAAAATTAGCCGGGCGTGATGGCGGGCGCCTGTAGTCCCAGCTACATGGGAGGCTGAAGCAGGAGAATGGCGTGAACCCAGGAGGCAGAGCTTGAAGTGAGCCAAGATTGTGCCACTGCACACCAGCCTGGGTGACAGAGCGAGACTCCGTCTCAAAAAAAAAAAAAAAAAATCAGTCCAATATGGGTGGACAACAACCAGGTCTACACAAAATGAGAAGACTGATTTTAAGAATAAGCAAATAATAATGAAAAGGAGGAGGAAAATGAGGAGAAAGAGGTGAAAGGTACGGGACAGGGGATTAGACAAGCATCGTGTTCCAATGACTTTTGTGGAGAATTTTCACTATCTAAGATCATCCGCCTATTCTGAATGTCTTAGGTGAGATGCCGGCTCCAAAACATCAGAAGCAACAGAGGATTTCTGAGGATTCTCAGTTTAGTATCTTCTATTTGAGTAGCCTTACAATAGTGTACAATTCTTGCCTATTACTACTACAATTAGAGATAGGGTCTTACTCTTTCAAACAGGTTGGAGTGCAGTTCGCTGTTACCTTGAACTTCTGGCTGAAATAATCCTTCTGTTTCAGCCTCTTGAGTATGCAGGACTAGAGGGGTGCATCACCAAACCCAGCTGTGTTTTTTAAAAAGTTCTTCCATAGAAATGGGATCTCTCTATGTTGCCCAGGCTGGTCTCAAACTCCTAGTCTCATATAATTCCCCTTCTTCTGTTTTGCTTCTCAAAGTAGTGGAATTAAAGGCATGAGCCACCACATCTGGTCTGAACTGACTAGTTGCAAAATATCAACCCAAGAATACTCCCTGAATTTTTTTTGCAGTATTTTGGTTAATTGTGCCTGATAATATTTATTCCAATATGTTTCAACAGTAGATTTTTTTCCTGAGGTTTCTTCCAATGGACATAATTTGGTGGTTGAAGATCACAAAATACTGTTAAAAGATGACTTGAAAGGCAACATTAAACTTTTGGTGATTGGAGTGAGTATAATACAAAAATTACTTTCAATATTGTGTAACACATGCATGCAATAGGACAAAGGTGAGCAATGAGGGTAAAATTTCTAAATGTATGAACCTTCCAGCTCCCGAGTCATAGGGCAGTAACTGATGTGTCCTGAGGGAGGCACCCTGATGTCATAGTGCTAGTGGGACAACTCTTGGCCAAGAGAGTTTCCATATTTTATTAAAGTTTTATAATTTTTTATTTAAAGATGCCAATTTATCAACATACCCAGATTATTGTGATTGGGATTGATTCTGTATGATGTGAACAATGGCGATGCCTTCCATGTTTAGATAACATTACACACCAGCTTAAGATTGAGTGTTTGATGTAATGATGCACTTGAACATTATTCCAGTTTTCATACTAGTGTTTCATTTTTCTCTTTATTTTCATTTGGTTTCAAATTCATATGTCAGGTCTCTAACATGTAGGAATTCATTAAAAGTGTCTTTTCTTGTTGTCTATTTTGATGGGGCTTCCAGAAGATTTAAAAACTTCCTCTGCCTGCAGCACATTTTAGATTCTGCGCTACTGTAGAACATCTGTATTTAATCCTGGTCTTTGGTTAATATACAAGCTCTAATAAGTGCAATAACTTCTGCCTTCTGAGCTGATTTACATCAGGTGGGGGAATATATCCTAAATGAAAATTTGTATTAGTGATATAAATTATTTCATAACCACCACTTTTATTATTTAAGTGTTATTCATTAAGAAACAAGTGAGGCCGGGTGCGGTGGCTCAAGCCTGTAATCCCAGCACTTTGGGAGGCCGAGACGGGCGGATCACGAGGTCAGGAGATCGAGACCATCGTGGCTAACACGGTGAAACCCCGTCTCTACTAAAAAAATACAAAAAACTAGCCGGGCGAGGTGGCGGGCGCCTGTAGTCCCAGCTACTCGGGAGGCTGAGGCAGGAGAATGGCGTAAACCCGGGAGGCGGAGCTTGCAGTGAGCTGAGATCCGGCCACTGCACTCCAGCCTGGGAGACAGAGCTAGACTCCGTCTCAAAAAAAAAAAAAAGAAACAAGTGTAGTCAAGTGTTTTATTTACTGACAATTTCTCAATTGGTGAAGGCTAAAGGGTCCATATTCCTGGGTCCGTATTCCTAGGAAGGCATCGTGACCCTGAGTCTGGGCGTGACCTTGGGAGTGTTTCTCACCCTCCTCCAGATGAGATGCTGGTCTGTGTGTTCTTCCTCCTTCCCCTGGGGTAGTGTCCTCCTGCTTTCCCCAGGTGCTCCCTCCCACAGCTCCAGTGTTCTCCATTGACGCCACCACCTTCCAGTTCTGCTGCTCTGCCCTGCAGACTAAGGCTCTGATTCCATAATATAGAGAGAGGAGCTGCTTCTCAATGGACCTTTGGTGGGGACCTCTGTTCCCGTCTCAACTTCTGAGGGGTTGAAACAGTGTCCCTAGGATTCTGGTTTCAATGGTTTGCCTTGGCAGAGTAAATTATTAGTTCTGTAGTGGAAATAAAGGAATTGGATCTGAATATATTTTAGAAGTGTGGGTTCTTCTTTTCTCCCAGATACTTCGAGAAAGGATTTTTATGGCTGTCCCATTCTTCGGGGAAAGGTTTTCAAGAGGATAAGTTAGCTTTTAATATGTGGTTCCTTAAAATTTCACACTACAAAACACTTACCACACTCAATTTCAAGCAATCCAATATACATTTGTATTTTTTTTTATTGGAAGAGCCTATATTTCATATTCCAGATTCTGCCACAGGTAATTTCAAACCCTGGCTTTGTTAATCACTATGAGAACTTACTTCTCCCTAAACTTGAGATTTATTATTGGTTTTGAAACTATAATTATCCAAAGTATTAAAGAAAATTTGTAAAGTTTCATCTTCCATGTTTATCTTATTGTTGATGCAGTTTAAAAAATAAGACAAATATATTCATTTTCTATATACATTTCCAAGCTTAGTAGTAGATTTTTTAAGACCCAGAATGATTTTAAAAAATTCAAATATTGTTCAGCTGCTTAATAAAAAAAAATTAGGGTAAATGTTTGCTAGAATACTACCCAGCATTTATAATAAGCAAATGTCTAATATACATAACTACAAGGTAAAATATCTAATTATTTATGCTAACTAAAATAAGCCAAACAGAATATATACTATGATATTTCATTTTTTAAGTTCTGATGAATTGAATTGAATCTGCAGCGATGTAAAGATCAGTAGTTGTCAGGGAAATGGGTAGAAGAAAGAAAGGGAAAAGGAGGAAGAATATAGAAGAACAAAACGAAATGTTGAGAATTTCTTGTCCACCTTGATAACGATGATGGTTACATCATGTTTAACAACTGTACACTTTATATATGTGAAAGTTTATTTTCTCCAAACTAAAACTTATAAAATTCATTACAAGGAACACATGGAAACTTAGACAAAGAAGGAATGACAGAATAATATAAAAAATGTATATTAAATTTCAGAAATACTTAAGAATTTATCTGCCTGAACCCTGGTTTTCACCATATTTTTAGGTGAATGCTAGAATGCAGCAAAATCACACATGTTCTCAATACAGGAAACGGGTTCCACAAACCACACTAGGCACGTCCACCTCTGTCCTGGAGTTGGTTCAGGGAGTAATTGGGGCTAGTGATGAGGAGCACAGGCCCAGATACCAGGGTTTACCCGTCCCAGATATCAGATCTTAGACACATACTGAGCATCTCTACGTGGAGAAACCATTGGCTCTGATAAAACACAATTTACACAAGTATGTAAAAATAAAATAGCGGCCGGGCGCAGCGGCTCACGCCTGTAATCCCAGCACTTTGGGAGGCTGAGGTGGGTGGATCATGAGGTCAGGAGATCGAGACCATCCTGGCTAACACGGTGAAACCCCGTCTCTACTAAAAATACAAAAAATTAGCCGGGCGTGGTGGCGGGCGCCTGTAGTCCCAGATACTCAGGAGGCTGAGGCAGGAGAATGGTGTGAACCCAGGAGGTGGAGCTTGCAGTGAGCCGAGATTGCGCCACTGTACTCCAGTCTGGGTGACAGAGCGAGACTCCGTCCCCCCAACTAAAAAAAAATAAATAAAATAAAATAGGGTGATCATTTCAAAGTGTTTATCACAGCATAATTTTATAAGACAGCATATTTTCCAAATACCATCATTGTCACCAAACTCCTGCAAGGGACAGTCATCTCATCTGGGGACCATCTTCTCCTCAGGCATCCCATGCCAGTGCTTGCTATATAGTAGCAGACATGCAAATACCGTCCTCCCTCTGCTGATGAAAACTAGCCCAGCCCTGACTCTGCAGCTCTGGGAGAGGAGCCCCAGCCTGGGATTCCCAGTAGTTTCCACTTGGTGATCAGCACTCAACACAGACTACCAAGCATGGAATTTGGGCTGAGCTGGGTTTTCCTTGTGGCTATTTTGAAAGGTAATTCATGGAGAACTAGAGATAGTGAGTGTGAGTGGACATGAGGGAGAGAAACAGTGGATATGTGTGGCAGTTTCTGACCTTGGTGTCTCTGTGTTTGCAGGTGTCCAGTGTGAGGTGCAGCTGGTGGAGTATGGGGGAGGTTTGGTACAGCCTGGGGGGTCCCTGAGACATTCCTGTGGATTCACCTTCAGTGACCACTACATGAGCTGGGTCCACCCGGCTCCAGGAAAGGGGCTGGAGTGGGTAGGTTTCATGAGAAACAAAGCTAATGGTGGGAGAACAGAATACGCTGCGTCTGTGAAAGGCAGATTCACTATCTCAAGAGACGATTCCAAAAGCATTGCCAGTCTGCAAATGAGCAGCCTGAACACCGAGGACACAGTCCTGTATTACTGTGCCAGAAACACAGTGAGGGGAACTCAGTGTGGGCCCAGAAACAAACCTCCCTGCAGGGGCGTGCAGATCCCCCAGGGGGCGCTCGGGACCCACTGAGGACGGGACAGGTCCCAGGAGCAGGTGCAGGGAGAGGTTTCCTTTCTCATTAGCTGGAGAAGTCAGGTTTGTGTTTGCAGGACTCTGAAGAATTCTAGGCTGTGACGTTTTATTACTTGTATTTATTATGAATTTATTATCATTAGTATTTAAATTTTAGTAATTTTTAAAACAAAATATATATATTTAAGTATACACCTTCATGAAATAAACATTTCTAATTATTTGCACCGATTCTTTCAGAGTTTTATTAACATGTGCTGACATCAGCAGCTATAAAGCCATAGGGACATAAATGTATAATCACAGAAAGATGTACAGGCCAGGCGCGGTGGCTCAGGCATGTAATTTCAGCACCTTGGAAGGCCTAAGTGGGCGGATCACATGAGGCCAGGAGTTCGAGACCAACCTGAGCAACACGGTGAAATTCTGTCTCTACTAAAAATACCAAAATTAGCCGGGCGTGTTGGCACGTGCCTTTAATCCCAGCTACTTGGTAGGCTGAAGCAGGAGAATCACTTGAACCTGGAATGCATAGATTTCAGTGACCTAAGATGGCACCACTGCACTCCAGCCTAAGCGACAGAGCAAGATTCCATCTCAAAAAATAAAAATAAGTTTAAAAAAAAAACAAAGAAAAATACATAAATGCACAGACTTACGCATAATGTGTAGGAATTAATAATAAACATTACAATAAAATAATTCTAAAAATATGTCCTAAAGAATCAAACTTAATGATGAGCTAAATGTAAAATATTAGAATATTTCATTATTGATTTTATTTTTAATTGTTTACATCAATTGATTTATATTTGTTTATTTAACTACTGGTAAATAATGGTCATTTCAAATGTGGTTGTCACAATAAATGATAAGACTCTGAGGTGACGAATGACAATTATCTTAATCATTTCTTAATTATCTTAGTAATTGTATACAGTATTCATAAATCAAAACATTACTTCTTACCTTGTAAATGTAAGGCGCTGCAGGAGTCGGCGGCCGGGCGGAGCAGAGGAAGAGGCCGTGACATCCACAGAGAGAAGAAGAACACGCAGCTGAGGAGGAGGAGCGAGGAGCTGAAGGCCGAGCTCCGAGAAAAGGAGGCAGAGCTGGAAACAAAGTGAACTCACACCTCAGCTCAGGTCAGAGCGCGACGGTGTCTCTGAGAAGACGGAGGCGGCAGAGAGACGATTAACACCAGGAAGACAAAGCGCGTTCCCTAAAGACAGGCGCTGAGGAGAGTAAATTCCGACAGCGCCACCTGGAGGTGGAGGTGAAGAGCTTCCTGGAGGTGCTGGACCGGAAGATCCACGACTTGCATGACTTCCGCCCAGGCCTCCCAAGCTGGGCACTGACAACCAGGGATGGCCCAGGCCCAGGTCCCCGCCCGTGAGTCCCAAGCGTGTGTGTGAGACCAGATGGCGCTAGGATGTTCCCTGTGTGCGTTGCTTCTGTAAATGCAGGTGCAGTTTGTCGTGTCTCCAAACCAGTTGTGCCGTCCACTCACTCCTTTCCAGAATAGAAATCTCTCGCTTCTCTGGCCTTGTGAGGGTGTGGACAACTGGAGATTCGGACTCGGGAATCCAGAACCAGGTCTACCTTCAACATTTACGCAGTCAGGCCAGGGATGTTTATATCTTTCGTAAGGGCTGTTGCAACCATATGAACTGAACAAAAAATTTTTCTAATCCAAATACTGATATTCTTTTCACCAAGCCACCGGAGTCCTTTTATCAAATAGCATTCAGAGTATTTGAACGCCCACCAGGCGCCAACCCCAGAGGGAGCAGAGAGAACAACATTCCTCTCCGTCAACATCGAGAGGCTTTAAAACAACTGTTTAGTGGAGACTTACTGAGAAATGGAAAACAGGTTTCTGGTGGCTGCATTTTCTGACCTGGGAATCGCCTCCATCCCCGATCCTGCCCCCTGCCCCCCAGTTTGTGTGGTTGCGACAATGTTTCTTTTTCGGTTTTAATTTCTGAGCAGATGATTGTGGTGTGGGAACAGCACACAGTGAGGGTGTCTAGCACAATGCCTGGCACAAAGTAGGTGCTTAATAAATATTTGTGTGGCTCCTGCCTGTAATCCCAGCACGTTGGGAGGCTGAGGGAGGCAGAACACCTGCCTTAAAAAAATTGTTTTTTTCAAAGCCCCACTCAAAACCAGGGTATTATTAGAGATGTAATAGTTGGACCAATATTGAAAATACATTCAATTTAGTTCATGTGATCTCAAATATCCTTTTTTTTAAAGTTGTTCTCAGTTGTAATATCATACAAAATATTAGTAATTTACACTAATGACACAGGTTACAATATTGTATACACAATTTAGTGGCATTTGATTGGAAAAAATACATGTTCTTCTTGTCTTGACTATTTTTTCCTTCCGTATGAAATGCTTATTAATTATTAAGTTTCAGAATTACCGTTATCTTTTTGATTTCTGGGATTTAATTTTAGTAGGTATACTTGAATGCATTTTATTAATTCATACAACAATGTTCACATTTTCGAGAGGTTTTAATATTAATTTTACTGTTTACTGAATTTCAAACTACTCTACTTTTTTGTTTTTATCAGATAAAATTTACACATAAGAAAAAATGCATAGATCTGACATGTGTCACTAGAGAGTTTCTGGCAAATGTGAATACCCTTGTCCCCAACACCTAAGGCAGCCTGAAGAGCAAGTCCATCCCCACAATATGCGTCTTTCTCTGTGCCTGCAGGCAACTCTTGTATGGGGAAAGATTTCGATGTCTGACACTATAGATCTCTTTTTCTCTGCTTTGAACTTTATATAAATGGAATCAAACATTATAGACATTTTATTGGTAAGGGATTTCTTTGCTATTTTTGAGGTTAATTCATGATATTTAATATATAAAATTACATCAACATATTGACATTTATTCAATTAATGGAGTGACTCTGCTATGAAACCTCAAAATGTTCATGTACATATGAAGAGAGAGAGAGAGGAAGCAGAGAGATTTTATGTCTGAGTCAGAGCATTATGTAAATAAATGACAACATTTTGATTGATTTTCCTGTCAATAGACTTTAAATTTGTTTCCAGTTTATGAATGTTATAAGCAGAGCTGTTACACATATTTTAGTGTAAGTTTTCCTACGTTCTCTTCATTTTTATTGAGAAAATATAAAGTATGTATTTCTTTAAGAGTAAGTTTAATTTTTTTCAGTTGTATTGAGGTATAATTGAAATATTTTAATAATGTATATGTTTCAGGTGCACCGCTTGATGTTTTGAAATTGTATTGGCCCATTCTCATATTGCTATAAAGAAATACCTGAGACTGAGTAATTTGAAAAAAAAAAGATGTTTAATTGGCTCACAGTTCTACAGGCTGTACAGGAAATGCAGTGGCTTCTCCTTCTGGGGAAACTCAGGAAACTTATAATCATGGCAGAAGACAAAGGGGAGTAGGCACATCACATGGCCAGAGCAGAAACCACAGGAAGTAGGAGGGGGTGTCTACACACTGTTAGACAACCAGATCTTGTGAGAACTCATGCACTGTTGTGAGAACAGTACCAGGAGTTGATTCTAAACCATTCATGAAAGACTCACACCGTGACCCAGTCATCACACCAGAGTTGATTCTAAAACCATTCCATGAAAGATTCAGCACCAGACCTTAGGAATATCACACACCAGGTCCCACCTTCACAATTGAGGATTATAATACAACGTGAGATTTGGGACAGGACACAGATCCAAACCATATCCAATATAATTGTAAAATGCTCATCATACTCAAGGTAATTTGTATATCCATCATGTCACAAAGGTACCACTTTATTTTTTTTAAATGTACTATGGGTGTGAGTGTATGTGTCTGATAAGAATACCTAAGATCGACCCTTTTAGCAAAAATTATTTTACAGCACAGTATTAAATACAGGAACATTGCTGTACATTAGATCTCCAGAACTCATTCACCCTGCACAACTGAAACTGTGTACCCTTTGACCAACATCACCCAATTTCCCTCTCCTCCCGGGTCTGGTACCCGCTATTCTACTCTCTGCTTTCAAGAGCTTGAATATTTTAGATCCCATATGTAAATGAGGTCATGAAGCCTTTGTCTTTCTGCATCTGGCTTATGCCACATATTTCAGGCCCACCCATGTTGTTGCAAATGTCAGAATTTCCTTCTTTCCGAGGTGAATAAAATTCAGTTTTATATACACACATTTTTTATACATTCATCAATATAAGGTCATTAAATTATTTTACAAATTTATACTTTTACAAATAATCTTGCAAATAATATAGTTGACATCAAAATTTTATTTCCTTTGAATATAAAACAAAAAGTGGGATCACCAGATCATATGATAGCCCTATTTTTCAATTTATTGAGCAGCCAATCCTACCACACCATATAAGGATTCCCGTTTCACTACATTCTTGCAAACATTTGGTATATTTTGTCTTGCTAAAAATAGCCATTTTAATTGGTGTGAGGTGATATCTCATTGTGTTTTGATTTGAATTTCTCTGATAATTAGTGCTGTTGAGAAACTTTTATGCTCTATTTTTTGGGTGTGCGTCTCTGAAAAAAAAAAATCTATCCAGGTTTTTGCCCTTGTTATGTCATTTGATATTTGCTATTGGGTTGTATGGGTTATTTATACATTTGGATAGAACTTCTTGTCAGATACATAATTGCACATCGGTTTTCCTATGCTTCTGGTATTAGATTTAAATAAATCATTTCTGAATCAATGACAGAAAGATTTTTCCATGTTGACTGTGAGTTTATGGTTTCAGGTTATGTTCACTTTTAATTTATTTTTGTATATGGTGTTAAAGATGGTCTAATTTTATTTATTTTACAATTTTTTTTTTAGTTTTTACATCATTTATTGATGAGACTGTCCTTTCTTCACTGTATGTTCTTGGAATACAAAATCAGGAAGACATTTAATTTAAAAAGAAAATATCATATGAATATTCCTGATGAACATAGACCTAAAAGTTCTCAACAAAATACTAGCAAATGGAATCCAGAAGCACTTTGAAATGTAATACATCATGGTCAAGTAGGTTTTACCGCTGGAAGGCAAGGTTCATTCAACATACACAATTCAGTAACTGTGATTCACCATG